ATGACTCGATGGCACATAACAACAACAACAAACAACACTTAATCTTGTGATTGGCTATTGCGATGAATATTGTTTTTCTTAGCTCCAGTTCTATATCCTCTTTGTCACTGTAGAGAAATCTGATAGATTTTGTATGTTGATCTTGTATACTGTCACTTTGCTGAATTGGTCAACTATGTTCAGTATTTTTCTTGCTGAAAATTTAGGGTTTTCTAGGCACACTATGATATCATCTGCATAGAGAGATAATTTTACCTCCTCTTTACTAATTTGGATAACTCTTATCTCCTACTCTTTTCCTATTGCTACCAATAAGACTTCTAATGCAACATTGAATAGAAGAGGTGATAGTGGGCATCCTTGCCTAGTTCCTGTTCTCAAAGGGAATGTCTTTAACCTCTCTCTCTTGAGAACAATGTTGGTTCTTGGGTTTGTGTATATACTTTTTATTATGTTGTGAAATTCCCTTCTATTCCTATTTTGTTGAGTGTTTTAATCAGGAAAAGGTGTGGGATTTTGTCAAAGGCCTTTTCTACATAAATTGATAGGATCATGTGTTTCTTGTGTTGAACCATCCTTGCATATCTGTTACAAATCCCACTTGGTCATGGTGAATTACTTTTCTTGATGTATCAATGGCTTCTATTGGCCAGGATTTTATTCAGGATTTTTGCATCTATGTTCATAAGAGATACTGGCCTATAGTTTTCTATTTTGGTGGTGTCCTTTCCTGACTTTGGTATCAAGGATATGTTTGCTTCATAGAATAGGTCTGGGAGAATTCCATCTTTTTCTATTTTCTGAAATAGTTTATGTAGAATTGGTGATAGTTCTTCTCTGTATGTTTGACAAAATTCACTTGTAAAACCCTCTGGTCCAGGGCTTTTCTTGGCTGGAAGTTGTTTTATTACCTTTTCAATTTCTTCTTTCACAATGGGTCTGTTCAGGTGTTCAAATTTGGTTTGTGTCAGTTTAGGCAGGTTGTACATTTCTAAGTATTTTTTCCCATTTCCTCTAGGTTTTAATATTTTTTTAGTATAGTTTTTCATAATATTCCATTGTTAACCTTTTTATTTTAGTTGGTTCTTTTGTGACATTGCTCGTTTCATCTCTTCTTTGGATTATTTGTGTTCTTTGTTTTCTTTTGTTAGTTTTGCTAGTGGTTTGCTGATTTTATTGACTTTTTCAAAGAACAAACTCCTGCTGGTCTTGTTTTTACAAACTCCCTTACGTTCTGTTTTTCTGGGAATATCTTTATCTCTCCTTCATATTTGATGGGCAATTTTGCTGGATACAATATTCCTGATTGACAGTTGTGTTCTTTGAGTATTTGATATATGTCATTCCATTGTCTTCTTGCTCACATGGTTTCTTCTTAGAAATCAGCACTTCATCTTGTTTGCTCTCCCTTATAGATTACTGTTTGTTTCTCCTTTGCTGCTTTCAGAATTCTCACCTTATCTTTGGTTCTGGCAAATCTAACTATGATATGTACTGGTGTGGCAAATCTAACTATGATATGTACTGGTGTTTTCCATTTGAGGTCTATTCTATATGGTGTGCTCTCAGCTTCTTGAATATATATTCTCTCATTCTTCATTATGTCTGGAAAGTTTTTTTCTAATAATTCTTCCACAACTTTTTTGATGCCTTTAGTTGCTTCTTTCTATTCTGGGATTCCAATTTTGTACATGTCGTTTTCTTAATGGTGTCCCACATTATTCTTAGGTTATCTTCTTTTTCCTTCCTTTTTGATTCTGCTTTTTGTTCTAGCAGATCACAGGTGACAATTCTATATTCTATTTTACTGATTCAGTGTTCCATCTCTTCAACCCTGTTCATGTGTCTCTCAATCATGTTGAAAGCATATGAAATATTGGTCCTCATATTTTGGATTATAGCTTCTTGTTTTTCCAGAGCTTCTTATGCCTTGTTTGTTTTATCTGTATTATTCAGGACTGGTGGTTTTTTTTTTTGTTGTTGTTGTTGGTTGGTGTTTTTTTGTTTTGTTTTGTTTTGTTTTAGCTCCTCCTGGTTATAGCTTTCAATGTCCTGTAATTCTACAAGTTTATCTTTCACCCATTGAAAGTATTCAACCATTGCTCTTTTAAATTCCGTGTCAGAAAGTTTCATCAGACTTTCTGGCTTCAGAAAATACATTGATACTGTGTCACTCTTTGAGGGTGACATCTTGCTTTGGGCTTGTGTAGGGGAGTAAGGTATCCTGCTTTCTAGATGACAGTGCTGTGGTAGAGTTTTTCAGGTCTGAGACAATGCAGGTTCTTGATCTGAAGTCACCACTCCAGAAGAGGGTGGGGCAGCTACCTTGCCCGGGTTTCTCTCTGCCTTTTGACTCAAGGAAAGATCTGCTTTAGCTCAGTAGAGAAAAGCCTGTGAAAGCAACCTTCTCTGACAGACAACTGCCACAGCTAGGCTAGCTCAAGGTGCTCTGGGCTAAAAGCAGTTGATGTACTGGATGTGAGGAGATGCAAGACAGTGAACAGAGACCAGCTTGGAAAACCAGGAAACCTTGTTTTTCCCTTCAAGAATTATCTCCAGCTGTCTTGCTCCCTTCTGATCCAGCCAAACATCAGTGACCCCCACCCAAAGTTCCTTACTTACGTTCCAGCACCTCTCACAGTGTGCATTGCTCCAGGAATGCCTAAATTGGTGTAGGTTTTGCTGTATATATTTTCAACAATTTTTTAAAACAAAATTTAACATTTTTAACATTTATTAAAATTTTTTTAATTTAAAAGTTTACCTAAATTGTGAATCAATGAAATTTTTCTATTCTATTAAATCCATTGTTATATCTTGAACTTTGAATGAATATTTAATGCACACATTATTTTCTAACTTTAAACACTGGTTAGTGGAAAACATTTTTTTCATTGAGCTTTGAAGACCTACAAATTTTGAAACATTTAACACAAAATACTTATTAATATCAACAACACTGTTACCAGAAAAACTGTTAAACCTTAAGAAGTTTATCAAACAATAAAAGATACTAGTTTCAAAAATTCTAATTTTTACCTGGAAGCTTTAATTTTACCACTGGCAACAGACACTATCAGTTGTTTTCCATAGGTTTGTTTAGTTTATTTATTTATTTGAGAACTATCCACCAAGTGCCTAAGTAAAAAAAAAAATTATACTTTCAAAGTTTTTATTTTAAAGAGAAATGATTACATGAAAAGTTGACTAGTTCAGCTCTTAACTCACACTACTGCCTAGGTAGTTTCCCTCCACACAACCACTACATTTCATTATGCAGCAGAAGTGCTTTATATAGACTTCGCACATTGTCACTCAGAATATGAAGAAGCCAGGGACTGAAGAATTGAGACTTAATAATATCAATAATGTATATCAGAAAGCTTAAAAATGAATAAGGATTACAGAATAATAATTTATGCCTTTGATCTGTGGTGTTGGAGAAGAATACTAAACATCCGATGGGCTGTGAAAAGAACAAACAAATATGTCTTGGAGAGAGTGCAACCAGAGTGCTCTCTGGGGGCAAAGGCGAGAAAGCTTCTTCTCACAGGGAAGGGTGCCAAGAGGGGCTATTCCTTGAAGGAGGACCTTATGCTTGAGAGGGTGGAAAGACAGCACAAGAGAGGAAGATCATCGATGAGATGGATTGACTCAGTGACTGGAGTAATGGGAGTACGTGTGTCAGATACAATAAGGTTGCCTCAGGTTAAAGCAAGGTCCAGAGCTGCTGTACACAGGGTTGCTATGAGTCACAAGCAACTTGACAGCATGTAACAACAACATACTATCATTGACATGGTTATGAGAAAATAGTTTTTTCTTAAATACTGTGGTTGCTGATAAAGAACTAAATGACTGTATAGTTTGAGGCACTGCCTTCACTCTTGCTAGCTTTCAGCAGTTTTGTGATCACTGAATCTGCATTAGCACTGCAAATGTCAACCTGGTGGAAAAAGATAAGTGATGTACTAGAAGTATATTCAAAATGGTTCTGACATCATGGATCACCTAAATAAAGATGTTCTGAAGAAACACTGTCTAAGAATCTGGCTTAGGTAATTTTAAAAATGTAGAATCTTCAGAGAATAGAGGTAATTACAATGTGTTTCATATAAAGGAAATTTATAGTGAATGGAACCATTAAATCTGCTTGAGTGTTTAAGCCCAACAATGAAAATAAAATAGAAAACCTCCACCTACCAAAGGGCTCAAATATTTTCTATTTGGGACAAAACTGCTTAGAAACAGATCATAAAAAAAAAATGACATCTTATTGTTAATTTCTTACCTTGGCTCTAGAGGAATTGACATTTTCCATATTTTCAATGCTGCAGATACAATTTTGTGAGACTTTCCGGCAAGCCACTCTGATATAGTCCCAGAAGCTACGAGGACTTTCATAACCAAACCAGGTTACTTGACCTTCAGGAGACAAATGGTAACACAAAATAAAAGGAAAATAAAAACGAGACTCAAAAAATTAAAAACTCAAGAGCAATAAAATTCTTAAAGGACAACAAAATGTGCTCTATTAGAAAGGGCACGGATGCTCCAAAAGACCTCAAATCTGGTACTGTTTTGAGTTTCATAATTTTCCTTTAGGAATTGACTTGCTGTAAAGTTTTCTCAGCAATAAAGTAAAATGAAACAAAATTAAAAGATGCTAGATTCCAAAGGATGCGTCACATTTTAATATCCCACCCAATATTTTTATACAGTTTTTAGACAACACCCAGAAGACTTCCTTCTGATTCTAGTTAACATTAATTTAAATGTCACTTGTTATTGTTGATTGCCTTCAAGTTGAACACGACTCATAGTGACCCTATGAACAAACGGCTTGAAGCCCCTCTACAAATATCAACAATTATCAAAGTTCATAGAGTTTCTGGAGGCACATTATTTAGGAAGTAGATGCCACTCCTGTTTCCAAAAACATCACTAGTTACACTTTAAATCTGTTTTTCCTTGTAACAAATCAGAAAAAAGTAAATAACCCTAGTTTTCCTCTTTATTAAGACACTTCAAAGAAATGAAACAAGTGTAGCCTATCCTATAATATAAGCAATTAGTACCTATCTTCACTCATCATTCATAATCTTCTATCTAATCACTCATCTATGAAAAGTTTTCCTCTTTACTTCATGTCTTCTCATCTAATCATCAATTATTAAAAAAACTTTCCGGAATTTATCATTCTGAGCTTTTAGATTTTGTTAACCATGTGAATAGTCATGACCAAATATTCTATAATAATTTTCTTTTTCTCAGGCAGGAATCTGAATATAAGGCACATGAGGAATCAGTTTGTACTCTTAATATTCTTTAATAGGAAATAAGGCTCAACTTTTTCTCAGACAATTCTCTGGGATAATTTATCTCACTTAGAAAGTTGTTTAACCTCAATGTAGAAAGACTTTATATTTGCAAATCCAGGCTTTTAAAGTTTTGAATTAATTATTTACATATCTAGAATCTTCACTTCTCCAATAATAACTTCTTCCAACAACATCAAAAAGTGTTCTTGTCAGCACTAACAGTTTTAGAAACAAAGTAGATAGGATATTTATTTGCCTGGTTCCTAAACATGGCAGTCCATTAACATAACTGGGCTGCTTTAAAAAAATATTCATACCTGGTTCCAGCAAAGATTTAATAATTTAATAAATAGGAGTCTCCAGAAGTTGACTCAGACATTGCTATTTTTAAAAAGGGTACTCTAGTGTGTCTTCTAATTTATTTATGGCAAACTAACAAGTAGAAACTCTGCATGTGATAATCAGCAACTCTTAGTCAACATTCAGGATAATTTAAAGACCATCTTCTCTTCTATTAAGTCAACAACTCCACATTGGGTTACACACTTCCTATGGATTGCCATACCATTCTGTATTTACTTTTATGAAGGCAGTTACTACACCTAATTACAATCACCTGATTATTAATATTGTCACATATACTAGGCAGTAGGAACACTAAGGACCAGACTATATTCACCTTGTTTTAAAATCAGTTCCTAGCTCTTGACACAGTTTCCAACTCACTTTAGAATTCCAGAAATATTTGGTGAACAGATGAATTGGTAAATTATACAAAGCATTTCTGTATCATCTCATACAAACTTGAATTTTCTTGTAAATCAAATTAGTATCAGTCTTTTCTAACAATTGCAATGACAAACAGATATGAAGGTGCCTGTGTTCTAGGTTGCTGCAGTTTTTGTTGTAGTATACTGTTGAGTAGGAACTGACTTGTAGCTGATCCTCCAGCAGGCTTTCAGAGGCAGGAGATCACACAGAAGAAGAGTGCCCATCTTTCTTTCAAGGAGCAGCTGGTAGATTTGACTTGTTTTTGACTTGGCAGCACAACTTCTTACCACTAAACCACCAGAGCCCCCTATATTCTGGGCTACAAATATTAACTATTCTAAGCAAATATATTTACCCTTGTCTATACGTAAACAAAAATGAGGCCTGGCACAGTGCTTAAGTGCTTGACAACTAGCCATAAATCAGTGAGTCTCATCCACCAGGGGCTGCACAGAAGAGAGATCTCACAATCTAGTTCCATAAAAATTATCACCTTGGAATCCAGCAAAACAGCTCTACTCTGCCCTATACGGTCACTACGAGCTGGAACTGACTTGATAGCACAGAACAAAAAAAATGTATAGAACTATAAAGAATCTATAAAAGCGTATTTAAATATCTATATAATTCAATGTTCCTTAAAAAGTAAATCCAGCCCAGTAACTTACAAAGAGTAATTTACAGTAATATTCATAATATGTCCTTTTCCTCTCTTTTGATTACTTTCCTTTACCTCTTTTGCTTTCAGAGGCAAAAGTTTTCTTCCCACAAAATATTCCTCAGCATAGTCTTTATTGCTATTGTTATTGGTGTTGCCTTTATTGCCGTCATCTGCGACTCATAGCAACCCTATGCACAACAGCTCTGAACCCTGCCCTATCCTGAGCCAATCTCACTGTCTCCAACACACCTACACCCATTACTGCATCAATCCATCTCATACAGGTTCTTCCTCTTCTGCGCTGTTCCTCAACTCTTCCAAGCAAGAAATCCCTCTCCAGAGACTGGGCTGGTCTCTCCTGGCACCATGCCCAAAGTATGTTAAATGGAGCTTCAAATCCTTACCTTTTAGGAGCAGCCTGCTTTTGCTATCTCCAGCTTAGACCTGGGCAGTCCATGGTATGTTCAATATACTCTTTTCCAGCACCACAGCTCATAAGCATTGATTCTTCTTCTACCATCCTTAGTCTTTATTCAATTCTCTGTTGCACAGCCCATAACTGTGAAAACTGTGGCTTGGATCAGACTCACTTTAGTCTCTAGACTGATGCTGTAATGCAATTCATCTTTTGATTTCCTGACTACTGGTGTCAAGATGTTGATTGTGGAACCAAAGCTGAAATTCTTAATAATCTCAATCTCTTCTCTATCATGATGCTGCCTATTGGCTCAATGGTGAGAATCTTTGTTTTCTTGATGTTGGGCTTCATTACGTATTGAAGACTGCAGTTTTAGACCTTTTGCAGCAAATGCCTTATGTCCTCAGTTTCCATAAGCGAAGATGCATCATATGCACAATGCAGGTTGTTGATTTACCTTCCTCCAATTCTTTTGTCACATTCCTCCTCATAAAGTCTAGTCTTCTGAATGATCTGTGCCACATATAGATTGAAAAGGTAGACTTTAGATCATTTTTAAACTACTAATGTGTTGGCCATTTTGAAGGAAAAAAAGATGCTAAGTGGTTAAGCGCATGGGATTCTGAGAAGGTGGCCCTAATTGGAATCCTAGATAGCAAACTTTCAAGTTTAGTGATCCTGAACAAATGATTTCTCTTTATAAGACTGAGCTGCCTCCGCTATAACTTGAAAATAAAAGACATACACTTCTCTAAGGATAAGATGAGATAATGTATATGTAGCAATCAGTACAGAGTCAAATACATATTGTTGTTGTTGTTGTTGTTGTTGTTTGATGCTGTCGAGTCGTAGACGACTCATAGTGACCCTATGAACGAATGGCCTGAGCACTGTTTGTACATAGAGTCTCTGGAAGCAAGCCATTTCAGACGTGGATGCTGCTCCTGCTTCCAGGCAAATACATATTAAGTACTCAATAAATGTTATCAATTATTAATATCACTACTGATATTAATATTTTCATGTAAACTGATAAGAAGCCCAAGATCCCCTTGTACCATATAACAAAGTATGAATGAAACAAAAATTTATGGTTTTTTTATTACTTACTTTTTTCTTATTACTTATTTATAATCTAGAGATATTACATTAACTACTAATTCTTGCCATTAGAAACTGACTTCATAAAAATATTTTCAATCTAAATTAATTTTCCTTGGTTTCTAGTATTTGAAAATTAAAAAAGAAATTCAAGATTATATAGCTACAAACTTTCCTCAATAAATAATACTTGTGTTAGGGAACACACGGGTAGGGATTTTAAAGGGAGAAAGCATCACAATTTTTCTACTAATGTTAAACATCTCTAAGTAGGAAACATAGGAAAGAAAATACCAATAAATTAGAATTTAAAAAAAGTTGTAGCCAATGAGAAAGTTGAAGCACAGGATAATCATTATCAAGAAATTCTTTTGTGAGGAAACGTATAAGCATTTTGGTGTTGGGAAGGATATATGGATATCTATCTATCTATCTATCATCTATCTATCTATTTTTCTTTCTTCAGTACTATTTCAAGAGGCATCCAGATTGGCAAAAACGTGGTAAAACTGTCGCTATATGCATATGATATGGTATTGTACACAGAAAACCCCAAGAACTCAACCAAAAACCCTGTCAGATCCACTAGACCAATTCACTAGAGTGGCAGGATATAAGAGCAATATACAAAAATCAATAGGTTTCCTCTACCATAACAAAGAAAACACACAGAAGGAAATGAAAAAAATAAAATACCATTTACAAAAGTCAATCACAATTTGAGAGACTTGTGAATATACCTAACTAGAGACATAAAAGACTTTTATAAAGAAGACAACAAAACACTACTTCAAGAAATAAGTTGTTATGCTTGTTAGGTGTCATGCAGTACAACCCATAGCAACTGTATGAACAAAAGATATTAACCCTGAACTATCCTGTGCCATATTTAGACCTCCTGACACATGTTCCTCTTCAAGGAATTGCCCCTCTTGGCATCCTTCCCTGTGAGAAGAAGCTTTATCACCTTTGTCCCCAAAGAGCACTCTGGTTGCACTCTCTCTCAGACATATTTGTTTGTTCTTTTCACAGCCCATGGGATGTTTAGTATTCTTCTCCAACACCACAGATCAAAGGCATAAATTATTATTCTGTCATCCTTATTCATTTTCCAGCTCTCAGATGCATAGCAAGTGAGAAAAGATGAAACCTA